ATGTATGCAATTTGAAGATTTTGTTGCAGTTTTATATCTTTTTGATATCCGTTTGTTTTTTTGGTTTTTTAATCTAAGACGTGTGGGAAGTGGCTTTAAAAGACTGTTGAATCAGTGTGCGGATCCACCGTGACATTCATACCAGTCGTCTGTCGTGCATTGTGAGAGATTTTATTCATTGGAACTACCCACATTGCCACCAAGCTGTATGTGCATGTTTACAGATAAAAGAGATCACAGATCAACTCATTTAAGTCACTTTAAATGGGACTGGTGAGTGTAGCTGTGGAATATAGTTTATTTAAAAAAGGAGGATATTTACACTTTTGACACTAACCTGTGAAAACTAATAATATTATTATATTATATAGATTACACGCCATTACCAGCATGTCTGCTGATAGCAAGCGGCTTGTTTTAGAGTCGTGTTTGTGTCCAGAGTGATCTGCCCGTCAGTCATTTCTACACTCCTTTTCTCTGCAGACACACCCACCTCCACGCTGTTATAGTTTTTGTGTAGCCGCCTCATTCCTTTTGTTTCCCATTTTACTCTTACTGTTTAAGAATTAGAAACAGGAGAAAGTAGTGCCAGTCTTTGGCACTGCTGTGACCTTTGAGCTCTGTGTGGGATCATTAACCAACCTCGAGGTTTCACAGTGTCTAGATAGGATTTACAGCCTGTCAAATACCAGAGTTGTGCGTCATCTGAGTCGCTTGTTTTTTCTTCCTCTGTGAGAGCTGGACCTGTTTTAATAAACAAAATCGCTCTTTGTGTGATTTATTATATAAAAACGTGCATTTTACTTACTGTTTATCATGCTTTTGTGCTGCTTTCATTGTCTGTTGTGCCTCACATCTCATAATACAATACAATTTTATTTATATAGCACATTTAAAAACCAGATGTATGCCAAAGTGCTTCACAGAAACCAAATAAATACAAGTAAATAAAATAATAAAATAAAATAGGCACAAATAAAATATACTAACAGGTGGGAGACTTAACTTAGTACGTAACACAGATCATGCGCATGAAACTTACTGTGGGTTTTTTCAGGATTAGAGGGATGTTTATATTTTCACTTTGCAAAAATTAAAGATAACATTGAGATAAGCCTTTCTTTCTGTTGAGGGATTAAAGTTTTGAAACTTCAGCAGTTTTTTTGGTTTAGTCAGGCTTGTCTCACACAGGTAAGCGATTGTCTTGCATTTCTGGCTCCCCAGAGCTTGTGAGAAGTTACCTGAGCTTGTTGCTGTCTTTCAGGCATTTAAACAGCTTCACTACATGTGCTTTTCTTCCCTTCTCTGGAATTTCCTTGACCCTTATTTTAACAATAGTAACACTCACCTCCTGTGCCACTGTTTCCTGATAGGACTTACACAGCAGTTTATTATATGAGCCATGCATAAAGGAAACCTGCCGCATTACAACCAAGGTTCCCACTGGTAGTGTTTATGTACCTTATATGCTGAAATACTAGTTCATCAGTAAAAGCTGTAAATTATGATGTAATCTGTTGACACAACCTTGCAGTAACGTCTTTGTGTATGTGTGCAGTGTTTAATCGTGTGGAGGGAAAAAACTATTTTTTGCATGAATTATAGAAAAATCCTGCAGAGTTCTTTTGTTTGTAGTCTTGTGTATGTCTCTTTTATGAGCAAAACATTTTAAAACACCTTTCTCTTTAGCACTGTGCAACACAGTATTAGTGAATAAACACCTCTCTGACAGTGGTGAAAGAAGCTGCACCTGTAGTGCTCTGTGCAGGACCTGCTGACTCTCCAATGGCACAATGCTTTGAACTTCACTTGGTGGGAAATTCCAGCTTGTGATCTTCCCTCGAGCTTGTGTGGAATCTGGCTGAACCACTTTGCTCAGCCACGGTTTGGATGTGTAGGAAGAAATATCTTATCTTATCCTTATCTTTGTTTAGTCCAACGCATTTAGTTTTAAAAAGAAATTTCTGAGTTTACCATTCCGGAAAGATCATTCACGCAGGTATTTTTAAATAAAAAAATGCAGAGAAATCTTTAAAAAAGTCCTAGAACATAATAAAGTAGCTGTTTTTGCAGCTTTAATGCCATGATTTTCAGTGTTAGCGCCAGTGTTGGTTGTCAAATTGGCCAAATTGCTGTGTTTAAATACCTGAGTTTAAAAGTGCCATAAGTAGAATTCAACACGTAAAAATACCTTTTAAGTAAGAACTGGAGCGTTAGTAGTGGAATGTACTTTAAAGTACCAAAAGTAAAAAGTACTCGTTCTGTACTAACAGAATGCATAAGCAGGAATAGGAATTGTTTCAGCTGTGGTGCCAGACTCTTTATGTTGATGCTGGCATTCTCGCAGATGTACATTGCAAAACCATGACATCACACTCATCGCAACTTCTGTGCACCTAAGTCACAGGTAGGCCTTAAAAAAACCTGCTAGTACATACTGTGCTCAGAGTCAGGCAATAACATGATCACACTGACAGTAAAAACCTGTGTAGGGTTCTTTTTTCACATAAAAGTCAGGATGAATTATACCTGTGAACTGTAAAAAGAAACGAAAAAAAAAAACAGTATGTGCCTGTTGATGAGTCTTTATTAGTTTTATTACTGTTATTTATAAGGTGTTATTAATTTAATTGTTAATACTGAGCCTTTAAGCAGTGGTGGAAAGGGTGCAACTAGTGATTTATAACATTAAAAACATGTCAGACAGTTCAGTCTAGTTTTAGTTTTACGTTTTAATGCATGAAAAAAAGTTAAAACTTTAAAACGTAAAACTCGTCACAGTTTTAAGTTTTCGTATTTTTTAAGTCAAAACTTAAATAACGGGAACATCACCTCCCTGTTTGCTCTTTGAAACTGTAAACAAAGAGCCCCAGCTGTACGTTACTTTTTAGTAAGCAATTTTAAAATTCACCCTCTTCCGTCGTGGTGAAGAGGGAGCTGAGTGTAAAAGCGAAGCTCTCAATTTACCGGTCGATCTACGTCCCTACCCTCACCTATGGCCACGAGTAGTGACCGAAAGAACAAGATCGCGGATACAAGCGGCAGAAATGAGCTTCCTCCGAAGGGTGGCTGGCCTCTCCCTTAGAGATAGGGTGAGAAGTTCGGCCATCCGGGAGGGGCTCAGAGCAGAGCCGCTGCTCCTCCACATCGAAAGGAGCCAGCTGAGGTGGTTCGGGTATCTGACAAGGATGCCACCTGGGCACCTCCTGGGGTTGGTGTTCCGGGCATGTCCCACCGGGAGGAAGCCCCGGGGCAGACCCAGGACACGCTGGAGAGATTATATCTCTCGGTTGGCCTGGGAACGCCTTGGTGTTCCTCCGGATAAGCTGGAGGAGGTGGCTGGGGAGAGGGAGGTCTGGGCTTCTCTGCTTAGGCTGCTGCCCCCGCGACCCGGCCTCGGATAAAGCGGATGAAGATGGATGGATGGATGGAATTTTAAAATTGTGAAAAAGTTAAAAAACTACAGCTTGACTGTTCCTGTAAAATCTGTATCCCTGTGAAAATGCCTGCCAAATATTGTATTAGTGAAACATATCTGTCCTGTAGTGGACAGAAAGTGAAATTAGATATAAAATCAAAGTGCAGTTATTATGTTAATGACTGGTTGTCCATGTACCTAATAGCTCTTGAGCAATAAAATGTTTAAAGATTTAATATGACAGTATCGACTCATTTGGTTCATCTTAGTTTTTTTCTCCTCGTGTGTAAACTTGAATGAAATATTAATGTCTCGAATTATGGGCAAAACACAAACATGCCTGAAAAACCATTGAGTGTTTTTTTCCTCTCAGTCACTGTCTGTCTCTCTGTTCCTCTGTAAATAATTATAGCCACTACTTGGGACTTTCCCTCAGCTGAAAAGATTCAGAGATGAGATTGTCTTGTTGTAAGATGTCACTGAAGGTCTGGAGGGTTGAGTTGTGAATAAGTGCTTTTTAACAGCCAGCATTTTGCAATTCTCTGCTGCTACATGCACAGAGCTGCAGCTGACAGATGTGTTTGGCTTTGATTGAGTGTAGTTTGGAAGTGCAGCATGGCAGATTTCAGCCACCTGTTTTTAAATGTCCAATATTGATCAGTACTTTTGGTTCAGGCCTGGATAGGATCTTTATTTGTAGTGAAGGCCAGCAGGTCAGGGAAGCCCCTTCAGCATTTCAACACAATGATTCTTCTTCGCATAAAGCCATGAAGACAATTCTGCAGAAGTATTTAAGTGTCCTGCACAGTCTTGACCTTAACCCCATCAGCTTCAGACATGAACTGGAATGCAAACTGCCATCCAAGCCTTGTCTCCCCACATATTTAAGTAATCCTTATGTAAATAAAAGAGTGCAGCCTCCTGGTAGTTGGCTTTTAACCCTTCCTAGAAAGTCCTCTCAAGAATAGTGGGGCCTTTGAAGCAGCAGTTTAATAAGCTGCAATTTTTAATGTGTTTATTTAACCTTTAAAAAGGTTTAAGATGCCGTTTAGTGCAGCTGTGATTCGGTCTGCTAAGGATTTCTTTTCAAGCGTGATCCCTGTTGGCAGGTGTTCAGCATGTAGCTGAGAAGAGAATTTACTTAAAGCACAAAATTGCATTCCTTACAGTTATCGGCTGAGAAACAGACAAAAGATGACAGATTCATGCCATCATACTGACTCGTCCTGAATTGTTTTGTGTGGCTTATTTCCTGCTGTCTTTACATTTGTGTTAAATCACTTCTGGTGATTTTCTTTAAAAATGTTTAAAATACCTTTCTAGAGAGGAAAGCAAGAACCAACAGGTTACCTAACAGACTTATTTACTTTACTTCTGATCTGAATGTTATTTATTCATTGATTGATTTGATGTGTGCTGTCCAGATTTGCAGAAATGTCTGCTTTCTCTTGAATACGATGCAGTGTCTGTTTCCGAGAGCCTTTGGCTAACTAACCATGAAAAAAGACTGAAAAAGGACTTAATCATGTCATTCGGATAAAACACAGTGCTTATGGATCTGTTTCTGTCCTGGTACTTCTAGGTTGAATTGGAGGTAGAAGAGGAGGAGGAAGAGGAGGAAGGGGATGCTGTAGAAGTGGAGGAGGTGGAGATTGTTAATGTCATACAGTCGAAACCACCTCCAGTGATAGAGAAGATCTCAAGGAGGGAGGTGAGGACTGAGTTGAAGGAGATACCAGAGCCAACAAAGCTGGACACACGTTACTTCGGCGAGCTGCTGGCTGATGTCTACAGGAAGAACTGCGACATCCACTCCTACATCTCCGAGCATGTGTCCAAGATCCGTGGACAGTAAGTAAACTTTAGGCATTTAAGTTCACATCTACATCAGTGTACACACAAGATTAAAATTACTTTATCTATTTGGTGCTAATTTACAAAAACAGCTACCTCAAGATGCTTTATATTGTAAGTTACACACCCCACAAAATTAGAGGGAAAATCTCAACAATCAATACATCCCCTATGAACAAGCACTTGGCAACAATAGGGAGGAAGTACTTCCTCTTAACAGGAAGTAACCTCTGGCAGAACTCGGCTTAGAGAACGGCAGCTTTGCGCCTCAACTAGTCGATGGGAGTGAAGGAAAAGAAAAGAGAGCATAGGGAGAGGGGACAAAAGCCACTATAAGAGAGAAGACAGTAATAAAACACATGGGGAGTGAATGACGTGAGCACAGAAGAAACCTTCAATGCATCATGGGAAGACCGCCAGCAGCCTGAGCCATAACTAATGGATGTTTCTGGGTCATCTGATCCAGCATTAATGATATACTTCATTCAGTTCATTTAAAAAACAAAACAAAACAATATACTTTTTAATATTTTTTTTTTTTACTGTATAATCATAAAAGTAGATAAGATGTCTGTCGTCTGAATTCAAACTTGAAGCTGTTTTCAGAGGAGAGGCTCCGCCTCCCATTCTAAAACTTTAAGAACCACTGAATAAACAAGTAGCAAATGGCCTGTTCGTGCTGGTGGTTGTGAAATGAAAACGATGCAATCCTTTTATAGCAAAGTAAAGTTTGGTAGTTTTAGCCTGTTGACATATCTTGTTCTTTGTTGCAAAGTTGGATTGCTCAACTTCTGATTGTGTAGGAAGAGTTGGTGAAGGAACAAATCACAGCAAAAATGACGCGTTGGTCAGTCAATAAAATTTTTCCTCTTTCCTTAAGTGTTGCAGGAGTTCCTGCATTGGAAAAAGGAACAAACACAGACAGATTTCAGGTATGATAGTAAGATATGGTACTAATCCTTTAAGATATAATGGAGCCTGATTATTCAAGACTTTGTAGGTGAGATGAAGGATTTTAAATTCAGTTCTGGAGCCTACTATAGTCTCTCCTTCTAGACTGTGTTTTTTTTTTTAAAAAAAAGCCTGATAATAAGGAATTCCAATTGTTCCAGATGTGTGGACTAGTTTCTTAGTATCACAGGATGTGACAGGATGTTTCTCATTTTAGGAATATTTTTGGCGTGAATATAACTGGTTATCATCTGCACAGCAGTTAAACTATATGCAGTGTTTTGTAATAAAATAGCCTAAGGGAAGAGTCTTCATAATTTGAGGTTAAATCCAAGCTTACTTTTGATTTTTATTTAATTTTAGCATTTTAACCTCTATTCTTATATAAAGCAGATGCAAGAACTACTTGAAAAGAATGAGTTTATGAAAAAAACTCACACAGCGTTCTTGCTCCCTGTTTCAACTTCTTGCACTGCTATTTAAGCAGTGATGTGAAATGAGGACATCTATTGTCTGGTTCTCAGACATGCTCTGCAACAGTTTTAGTGCAGAATGCAAAGCTGGCCATGACCTAGTCAAAACACGAAGCTTTTATTTTGTGTGATATGCTTTTAAAAAAAGAAAAGTTTTAACTGAGAAGTATGGATTTATTTTGAAGAGGAAATTTCAAATATCTTACTCTGGAATAAGTAAAGTACCAGGGGACAAAAGGAAACCCCGGTCCTTATTACCAGACAAATAGCCTTTCGCAAAGAAATCTTCCATTTCTACCAGATTTTGGAGTTTAGCACAACTGAGAAACATCTGTGTCATGCTTTGGTTAAATTACCCAATGCATCATGCTCCACTGCATTAGAGGGAGTTGTCTTTCAAACCATTACGGAGTTGTTCACCTCCACGTTATGATGAAACCTTTCTATCATGAGGGGAGGGGCCTCCATGATGACTCCAGTCCACACAGACATGAAAAACTAAAAAACCTGTGGGAGATCTTTTACTGACACCGGCACGATCTGCAACCCCATCGTCAAGCACCAATCATCTAATGTTGGATATTTCTTTAACATCACACCTTTCTGTCTGTCCACGGAAAGGTGAGATGTTATACGCATACATCGTTTTGACTTGGACTGCTGTACACCATTTAGATAAGCTGTGTGAGATTGTCATGGAGACAGACACTGGGTTTGGCAGCTTGGATTAGTTTCATGTGCAACATGCTCAAACAGGTTGAAGGCGAGTTTCGGGTTGGCTTCTCTCGCTCGTAACTCCCACAGTTTCTCGTCTCTGATCTCCTTACAGTACCTCGCAGTTCCCCTTCAAATTCCCAGGTGAGGTCATGCTGGTGAAGCCCATTCAGATATCCACACACCCAGCATGTCGCTCCCCATTTTATAATCAATATACTAAAGACGGAGATGAACCACAGCACTGGATCTATACAGTGTGTGAGCACTGTTTGCAGCTGCTGTGGGAGACAACAGAACTGTGGTGATCAGTGTCACCTGCAAACTGTGTGATTGCTCTGTCATTTGGGAGAGATTCGGTGCTTTGGACACGGGTGTGACAAGTTGGAGTTTTGTTGGAGATGGTTTACATTAAAGAAACAGGAAAGCATTTTCAAATCAGATTGAAAACTTGATCAAAAGATTCTTCGTGCCGTGTTTGAGCTGTGCAAGAGTGATAATAGCATTCTGGATCACATGTTTTGGAATTTTCTTGTGCTTTTGTGATTGCTGACAGTGGATTCTGCAGTTTTTGATTTGTATTTTTTTAATTGTGTATATAGCTGTACACATGTTGTCTGTGAATCATAAGGAGTGCCTGCACAGTATGTACACCTGAAAACGTAACCTGGTACAGCACGTGTATTTTGAATGATCCATGCTGATTTTGCACATGTTCACCGTCATCAGTTTCTGCTTAATTTTCACATCACTCTGCATGTTAGTACAGGAAACCAAGGTAAGAAAAAAGGATGAACTGTAGGTCAGGTTTGCTAAAAAGGCCAATGGGAGTGAAATGGAGCTCCAATAAGTTAACACCCAGTTGATTCATGAGATGTGGGTGAGTGAGAGGGTAGCCATAACTTTTCACCTTCCTGCCAACCACCTACATGTCTCTAAATCACCGAGCACAGATGTACTTACTTGTTCCACACTATTGTACGTGCGCTGACTCACAGTCCAGACTAAGCAATTAGGCTGAAATAAATATCACGCTGACAAGTCTGATGAGATTCAGGGTGTTTTCATATAATCAAGAAATGTTTCCATGAAAAGCTGAAAACCTCTTTAAAATGCTGCAGCTGTCATTAGCCAGATCGCACACCTTGATGAATATGGATGGGACAGAGGAGCTAGTCAGAGTGGCACCAACAGGCGCTCCTCTGGGCACACAGGAAAACACACGAACTTATCCACACATAGAAAAGCACAGCACCAGGAAATGATCCTAAGATTTCATGTGACCTTAAGTATGGTGCCTAATCTCAGTATGGTCCTAAATTAAATTTTTCAACCATAAAATAAGTTTGTGCACCAAAAGGAGCCCAAATCGTTGATGCATCATCAGAGATGAACAGGTTTTTGTTCAGATAGAACAAAACAAGCCTACTGGAGCTCTTTCCAGTCCCGCTGTTTTACTCATTGTTTTCCTTGCTTTGTGTTCCAGGAAACACCAGATGGATTTGGGAAAAGATTCCACGGTGAGAAACAATCTTCCATCACACAAGTAACTGATAAGTGAATCTGAGGAGATCTCAGAGAGACACAACAACATTAGCTGTGGTCAAAATGAGTCACAACCTTGAAACTAATCAGATTTCAGACATTTTCTGCAGAATATGAGAGATTTTGACTAAAGTCCTCGGAAACAAAAACTAAAGTTTTATTGATTTAAAACGGGGTTTGGGGAGGGGGGGGGTACAGACATATACAGCACAACTGTAAACTGCAGTAGCAAAGCAAACATTAGTCACAAGGCATAGGGACAGCAAAGAAAAAACACAAAAACACAAAGTTAAAACCAATTATTGCCTCTTCCAGGAGATAACTCTGGATGAGAAGATTTTCCAAGCTTCGACAGTCGTGGGTCAAGCTTTATTTAATTTTGCTGTGGTATGTTCAAAACCAATAACACGGATAAGACATCGTCTCCAGAATGATTCCCTACAAATGTCAGGACTGAACCATTGCCTCGTAATAGTCTTCTTTGCGGATGTGAATCCAGCGAACAACATTTTGCATTGTATTTGTTTTAAGGAGATTTCAGAGGTATCATTAAGGAGACAAAGACCAGGATTGGGAACATAAAAAACTTCCAGTACCTCAGATAACACAGAGTTCACAAAGACCCAAAAATTGGATACAACAGGACAGTCCCAAAACATGTGCAAAAACGTGCCAGGTGATGAATAAGTAAAAGTGTTTTTGTCATTCTTTAACTTCAGGTGGATAAAGAGGAGGTGGAGTCTTTGATTCCAAAAGGAGCTACTGAACTGACCAAGCAACAAATGCGCTACCTGCTACAGGTAAGTGACAGACAGAAAGATTCCAATAATACACAAGTTTAATTAATAACACATTTTGCTATCAATGAGAATATAATCCCACAAATTCAAGCCTGTCACCTGACGACGCCTGGTCTCGTCTTATCTGAGAAGCTAAGCAGCGTCAGGCCCGGTTAGTACTTGGATAGATGGGAGCTGGGATTCCTCCAGCTGTCTTAGCTAACCACATGTCTTAGTTAATTATAGGCTGAATTCCAGCCTTCCTCTTATTTAAAAGGTTCCTGAAAGAGTAGCTGTGAAACAGCTGGGTGATCGTTTGCAGGGGAATTTTCTGCTTGAAGAGTTTCAGTCAGATTTCAGAATTCATCATAGTATAGAAACAGGACTAGTGAAGGTTAGATTGATCTTCTTATGGCCTCTGACAGTGGATTCAGCTCTGTGTTTATCCTGTTAGACCTTAGTAAAGCGTTCAATACTGTCAGTCATAATATTTTAATGCAGGGGCTGTAATACACTGTTGCTATTAAAGGAAATAGGTTGAATTGTATCACATGTAAATGGGGAGTCTTCTTCACACTCACTCTTACACACTGAGATTATAAAGACACAAATGTATTCCTCCTGATGATGAAACTTAGAACCTCATAATCATATCCAGATAAGATCATTAATAAGGTCAAATTAGTTACCGTTTGAAATTCTGTCTTTACCAGTAGCATCTGTGTTGGGCCGCCTAAAACAGCAGAATATGTGCTTTTTAAATAATATTTAAAGCATTGAGCTTCACGCCTTTGTTTATCTGTCCCCTCTCTGGTGTTACCTTCTCTGTGTTTGTGTGTCAGACTCGTCTCACTGCAGATAAGAGCATGCGTCTGCTGCTGTCCACCTTCAACAGTTTGAGAGAGGAGCTCATGCACATGTCGGAGGACCTGCGGGTAAGAAGGAGAAAAACACTTCAGACAAGTCCCAGCTCAGTCACCATAACTCAGACACTGTCCTCTGCAGCCCAGTGCTTGGTATCTGGATAAAAAGTAGGCTGGATCGGCTTTGTGTCTTCTTGGAATCTTGGAGAGAAACTGGAGCCGCTAGTTTGACTCTGCGGCGACAGCAAAAGAAAATAAAAAACTGTGGTAACAAACACAAACAGGAGTATAAATCAAAGCTGTCAGATCATCTTTAAGCAACTGAGAAAACTCCAGTACATGACAACAAACAAACAAACATCTCCTAAGAAAGAAAGTCAAAGAAAAAATGCTAACACTTTATAATATTGTAGGGGAATAAATATAGTGGTACATTCAATATGCTTCTATATTAAACATTCAAATTTCGGTATTAATGGGTTTAAGTCAGGAGTGTAAATGTGACCGTAACATCAACACCTCATGGTTCTGCCATGTCCACTTGAACCTATTTGGTTGATAACGACTTCAGTGTAACATCAGCACTGAGGGAGAACATGACAGAGGGTGTGGTTACATAAGTAAAATTCAGATCTGTACAGCAGCGTCTGTCAGGGTAGAACAGTATGCGCCCAAAGGCTTCACGCATCGTATATGAGCTTTTTCCACAGGGGTGCGAGTTACTTAAATAGTTTCAATTAGACAGGCACGTACAGGACACCAGAAAGATAGTATCAAACTATTAATGAGGTGTGGTGAGTCACATTCATTGTGCTTACATTTCTGAAGAAAAACAATTAACGTTTTAAACTGACAAGGAATCAAAAATGCAAATGTGTGTTTTCTCTGATTCCAACAACAAGCCCAGTGTAATGACTAATCTGAATCCAGAAGCAAAGAAGAAGGCATGTCAGCGATCATGAAGTATATGATTATTACTGTTAAAGATGTGATATGTCTGTCTGATATTACAGCGTCTGGAGAGTGAGAAGGACTCTTTGGAGAGAGATCTGAGTTTCAAAACAGACCAGGCTCGGCAGTATGACTCCCTCCTGGCGACCGTCCGAGAAAACAACAGACAGCTCCAGGTACTCCACGTGTGTCTGTCTGTTAGTGTGTGTGCCAAATATTCATGAACAAAATTTGTTTCTCCAAATTGTGCTTGGAGAAACCACCGTTTTGATGAGTAACTTGTATTTGGTTTGTTTCATAATACCACAAAAACACTGGAGGGGAAAAGAGCCAGTTTAATTCCAGTACAGTTTCTTTTAATGTCAGTGTCTACATACAGAGACAGAACCCGAACTATCAGACAATCATGAGCAAGCATGGCAGGGTTTTGGAAGAGGAGACCTGCAGGCAAAACCAGGCTGAGGGACAGGCTGGTACTACAGTATGAAATGGACCAATGAGAGGCTACAAAATTACTTTAAACAGCCAAAATTATTAAGATTTTCAGTGTCAGAGGTTTCTTTTAGTGGCCTCTCTCTGCTTAGCAGGTAGAACTTGGTTACCCAAGGCTAAAAAATATTACATTTTTTGTTGCCTTTATCTTTAGGTCTCTACACCAGAACAAGCTACTGTAGTTTACCAAAGTGCTTGCAAAGCCAGCTGTCAGTCAAAGTGCCCATGAGTCCAATATACAGATGTAAAATTAAAAATTCACCACCATAGTGTTGGCATCCAGTGATGGGGGATCACAAGCCAGTGTGCTCCTAGTGCCTGTTCCCTGCATAAATGGAGAGGGTTAAACGTTTGCGTTAAATCAAATGTGCTGATCATCAAGAATGAGATACTGGAAATGGGAGAAAATGTGCTACTGTTGGGTGAAGACAGAGGAGGAAAGGCAGGTGTGTAAATGTGAGATTAGGGACACTAAATGTAGGGCCTGTGAGTAGTAAAGGGAGAGAGCTGGTTGATATGATGGAGAGATGAAACATAGATATGTTGTGTATTCAGGAGACAAGGGTGGAAGGGAGGTGGATTCAAACTGTTCTACGATGGTGTAGATAGGAAGAAAAATGGAGTAGTTGCGATCTTGAAGGAAGACTATGTGAATAGTGTTGAGGTGGAGAGAGCGCCAGACAGGGTCTAGAGTTTCATGCTGGAAATAATAAGAAAATATGATGAATGTTTAAAGTGTGTCAAGGAGCTTGCAAAGAAAATCATCTGGACTTCTTTAAGTGACTTGAAGACGTTTCACCTCTCATCCGAGAAGCTTCTTCAGTTCTAAGGTCAAATGGTGGAGAGTCCCAGATATAACCTAGTGGGCGTTAAGGCGTCTGGGAAGGGATCTCAAAACTGGATTATAGATGGCAGACAGTTGGTGTCGTAAACCCCCGCCTCTGTTCAAAGATGGTCGCTCACAGTGGACATAGATGGCTTCTTTCACTCCTCTTTCAAACCATCTGTCTTCCCTGTCCAAAATGTGAACATTGGGATAAAGAGTGTCCTTTATCCTTAAGATGCAGATGGACTGCTGAGTCTTGTCCTGTGGAGGTGGCTCTTCTGTGTTGTGCCATGCGCTTGTGAAGTGGCTGTGTGGTCTCTCCAATGTAGAGGTCTGAGCATTCCTCGCTGCACTGTACAGCAAACACCACATTGTTAAGTTTGTGTTTTGGCGTTTTGTCTTTCGGGTGAACCAGTTTTTGTCTGAGCGTGTTCCTGGGTCTGAAATGCACCGGGATGTCATGCTTGGAGAAAACTCTCCTGAGTTTTAAAGTGTGTGCCCCACAGGTTGGAAGTCAGATGAAAGAGAGGATTTCTGGACTAAGTGTTAGAAGAGAGTCTTCATTGAGGAGAGAGTGGTGATTGGAGCGGACTTCAATGAACATGTAGGTGAAGGGAGCAGGGAGCAGAGGAGGTCCTGGGTAGCTATGGTGTTAAGGAGAGAAATGTTAAAGGATACATTGCGGTTGTTAAGAGTGACTGCTGTCATTTCCACTAATAGTCACAGAGAAGTATTTTACTACAGTTGAAGGCTGTGTGTAAAAAAATCAAAAAACAAACTTTACGTATTATCACATCACTATGAAAATTGCCAGAAAAAAAGGCGGTTCCATTCTTTCACGCGTGCCGACTATGAAAACAGAATTCCAGAAATCCAGAGTTTTCTGGAGGCATGTTTGCAAAGACAACAGAGAGCTATGACCTGTTTTGCCTTCCAGCATGGGCAGGACTCAGTTGCACTCTTCATAGAAAGTGTTTCATTGCAGTCACTGGCCAGCGTTACTGTGCAAATAGTGGAGATGTTTCACTTAAGGATCAAAATGAGGAAAACCTGAACAACCCAGCTATTTTTTTTAATCTTTGAAAATGTGTGCTGCTTCTGTGAATCTATCTGCATGGGTTCATGTATCAGAGAAGGAGAAATGTAAGTAGCTTTGCTACTTTTGCTTGTCAGTTCATCTAAAAAGGCAATTCTTTATTTGGAATGAGGACACGCAAGATGTTTGTAGTGATTCCTCAGAGTATGGATTACTGCATATGCACAAATAGCAGGTCGACGTTGAGGCAAGAATTTGACCTTCAGTTTAATAAATAATACTCTTCGACACAGTCAGGTACTGCAGTTTCTGACTGTGTTGGATTCGGGCGTCTACATAGCGTCTATGTGTGTTGTCTTTCTGCAGCTGTCTCTGAAGGAATCCCAGGCCGCCCAGCGTTCACTGGAGAGCCAGATCATGAGCAAACAAAGTAGCGACTCGAATCGTGACTTCAAGCTGAAAGAGATGGAAGCAAGAATGAAAGCAATGGAGAATGAGAACAAGATGCTCCGACAGAAGGTAAAGCTGGATATGCTTTTTTCCCCTTCATGAGCTACATCTCTTTAAATAAAGAAAGTTATGCAGTCATTTAGCAAAATGTGTTTTTGAAATCTTTTGTCTTTTTGTCTTGTCTGTCCCTCCTATCAGCTGGCTGGACAAGGTAGCAGCTCCACCTTTCAGATCAAAACAGACGAATTATCCCGTCAGTACAATGAGCAGCTCAGCACCTTGACTCGAGAGAAAGATCGGGAGATCGAGAGGCTGAGGGTAAGACAGGAAGAACTAGATTCTCATCAAAATGAAGAAAAAAAAAAAAATAGACCACAGAAGTTTGGTTTTCAGATAGGTAAGTGGCGAGCTACAGAAGCTGCACAAAAGTTGATTTGTCGCCAAAGATCTGCCTGCCTAATATTGCATTGGTCCCTGTTCGGCTGCCAAAACAGCCCTGACTCATCGAGGCATGGACTCCACTAGACCCTTGAAGGTGTGCTGTGGTATCTGGCACAAAGATGTTAGCAACAGAGCCGTGTAAGTCCTGTAAGTTGCGAGGTGGGGCCTCCACGGATCAGATGTGTTTTTCCAGCACATCGCACAGATGCTCGATTGGATTGAGATCTGGGGAATTTGGAGGCTTGTCGTTGTGCTCCTCAAACCGTTCCTGAACCATTTTCACTCTGTGGGAGGCCACATTATCCTGCTGCAAGAGGTCACAGCCATCAGGGAACATTGTTTCCATGAAAGGATGTACGTGGTCTGCAACAGTGCTTACGTATGTAGTATGTGTCAAAATAACATCCACATGGATAGCAGGACCCAAGGTTTAACAGCACAACATTGCCCACAGTATCACAATGCTTCCTGTTTGCCTGCTTCCCATAGTGAGTGCTGGTACCAGAAACCATGAAATAATGATTAATGTTAGATGACGGTGCATCCCGGTGCTTGTATTTAAGGAAGGCATTGTTTTTCGCTTGCACGTTGTTGGCAGTTTCAGTTGCATGTTATAGGCCAGAAACATAAAAATATATCTTCTAACATGCTCCCAGTCGTAGTCTTACCTAAACTCATTTTTTTTTCCTGGTTTGCTCTCCGTCTCTTGCTCTAATCTCTCCAGACCCAGATAACAAGGATTCAGACAGAGGTCACCACTGACAGGTCGTCCTCAGAGAAGAGTCTTCAACTGAAGATCACAGAGCTTCTCACCATGTTGGAGCAGCAGAAGACCACCATCTCCAAACAAGAGGAGGTCTGCAACACACAACACATCAACACTGTGTTTAATTTTGTGCCAGTCAAAGATGGAAGACTATCAAAAGGATCAGTCGAGACAAACCGGCGCTCTCAGAATCAAGAGACTAAATAGAATCAGCTGGATATTAGATAAAATAGCTGTTTTTCAGTTCGTTTTATAAAGAATCTGTTAAACCTTAAATACAGATCAAGTATTAATTATATCTGGAGACCTGGCTGTGATGAAAAGCAGACCAACAGGTTTGTAATGATGGACTAAAACAAAGATGAGTGGGTACAGCTGCCTGTGTCCAACTTTGAGTTCAAATAGCCCCACCTCTAATTTCCACCCTCTCACAGTTGTTAAGAAGAGGGAAAACCTATAGAAATAACTTTTTTCTACAGGCTCTGACCCTGCCTGTTGCTGCTGTAAAAGTTTGGTATTTTGACACTAAAAGCCATTTGGGAATGGAGATGGAGTCAGTTAGCAGCCTCACGTGGCCATTTGAGGTACTGCAAAGACATTCAGTTTGAATTTAACTAAAGTGGGGTTATTTTTCCACACAATATCAGCTTCAATATCAATATAGTCACAAAGTTTAATACTGAGATCTGCATATGCGGAAGCAGTCTGATTAGATATTTCTAGGTAGAAATAGGCTTTTTATATGTAGATTATAAACTGATAGTGAAGGTAATGATTTTACCGTCTGCCATTTTTCACACCCGCAAAAAAGGGTAACTGGTGAAGCTCCTGTGACATCGTCCGACTCATTCTGTTCACTGATCCTGCTGTGTTTCCAGTTAAAACCAGTCTGGATTCAATTATGTGCAAACTGCAAAAGCAATTTTAGTAAAGCACAATTTTCCTTTATCACCATCAGACTTACTACATTTTGGATGATCAACAGATTTGTCTTTAGTCATGCAGAAACAAACTGAATGCTAAAAATGAAGGTTGTAAATGAAGAAAACAAAGCCGGCACCTTTCAGGTCCAACTACATTCCTCTGGCTGAAAGATGATAGTTAATTTAATTTCAAATTCTGTTCTTCTCATTCTAATTCCGTTGTTTTCATTCAAATTCCCGTGCTTTCATTCTATTTTTTTGTCTTCATTCAAATTCTGTTGTTTTTATTCAAATGCTGTTCTTCTCATTCAAATTCCGTTGTTTTCATTCAAATTCCTGTGCTTTCGTTCTAATTCCGTTGTTTTCATTCAAATTCTGTTGTTTAACCTCCGGCGCGTTTGATTACCTCAGGTGGCTCACATCACATACTAGCGCAATTAAAACTGCACAAACTGCAGGAAATAGTTTTGCTCGACATTCATTTGCTGTGAAGTTAACAGTAAAAAAGACTATAAATTCCATACCATGTGTTGGTACTCGAGTTCCATTTTACTCTGACACATTTAAAAAATTGCCTAAATGAATGCAAAGTGACTGGAATGAGTGTGAGCTATCTGTGTGGAGCACAATGTGCCGTTTAACTGATGGCTTCTTGTGGTCCTCAGGAGATCAGAAGGCTGATGCAGGACAGGAACAGCAGCTCCAAGAATGTCACTAAGACCATCATCACCAAAAGGTACGAAATAACTATGACAGATTGCTGCCAGACAAGATAACTTTATATCAAGTTAACTTATGTTAAGTGACCCTTAACTCTGCTGATTCTACTGACTGAGTTCTTGCTAGCTCATGCTGAAAATGCTTTGAAGCAACGTGACGTGTAGGACTAACCCAGCAACCACAGTCAAAGCCTGACGTTATCTTCTCAGGTCTTTGAACGGTGGGCATCTTTTACATAAGGCAGGTCATTAAATGTGGCACTGAAAGACACCCATTTGGACACACAGTAAAAGAGTGGGATTTATCTTAAGTGGAATGACATGAAAACCAAACCTTTAATACCCTTTATTCTTGATTTTTAATCACAAATTCCACAGGAGTACTTGTACAGCTTGCCGGTGTGGCTCTTCTTAATTAATGCGATTATGGAACGTGTTGTTTGGCCGAAGAGAGAAAAAGGAGAAAAACACAATAGAACAAAATTATTTAATCTATTGTGTTTTGGGGAGATCTGTTTTTTTAAACTGCCACCTATTACACTTTCAAAAAGATAAGTGACAGTTGAATCACTTGAATGCAGTATATACAGACAAATTCTAACCATCCACGAGACTCACAATCTGAGAATAACAACTAAATGTGCGTTTGCAGGTACAGGAACCAGTACCCGATCCTTGGTCTGCTCAGTGATGATTACCAGGTCACCTCACCTGTCAAAGAAGACAAGACCATCGTCATCGAGAGAAGTGGACAGATGATCAAACAGGTAAAAACAGGAGGCGAGAGTGAAGGGTGAGAGTGAGCAGGTCACTTTCACTGAGCTGCTCTACATTCCACACTGATTTAATGAGCGACAGCAGTGCACCTGTACATACAGCTGCATTAAAAAATATTAGGTTTGTTGAAAAAGAAATTACCAATAGTTCATATGTTCTTGAATTTACATGTATGTGTTTATAATTCGACGTGATTTGAACTGAGATTCTGACAGAAAAACTGACAAACTGCACAAAATGTAAAGACTTTTGTGGGACTTTAAGTTAATTTTGCAGATTTACAACTTGATGCAAACAAAAAAAACTGACAAAGGTGAAAATAAACGAATAAAACAATCCACATGTGGGCACACGGCTAGATTTTATATCAATTGATTGTCAAGCAGCTTCATTACATGTGCAACAAAGTCTATCATCATTATCGGCTCTTAAGTGACAAATAGAATGTTAAAAAGGGGAAATTCAAACTTCAAACTTGGAGTTTATTTCATGCATAATGTCAAATCTTAAAAGAGTTCAAGTAAATCAGTGTTCATTATTCAGAAATAATAAATATAAAAACTGCACTTTTTGCGTGCTGTGAAAGCAAGATATCTTATTTTATTATTGACCTACACTGTTTGAAGTTTTCAGCTAAACAGCAAAGCCCTGATTATACTGTCTGTGTCTGCACGTGCCAGTTTTTCCGTGACTACATCGACTTGTCAAGTCCTCCTGCTTATATCAGAGATTGTTTTTATTTTTCTGATCATGAATTGTAATATTAAAGTATTTTGCAATGAAGCAGTAAAGGAGTAATCTACTGTGAAGGAATGTGATAGTCGGGACTCTGAGAATCCGTAAGACCGAGGCTCTTCAAATTGTGGAAACTGTGTTCTCTGTGCATCTTCTCCATTAAACAAGTGAAGCGTTTGCATATTTAAACTGAATTATAACAGCTCTACCTGTTTTTTTTATTTTGAAACAGGAAATCATTACAACCCCTTAAAGACACACTGCTTCTCTCCGACAGGAATGAACTATGACCAACCAGAAGATCCAGATGTCACCCCTATTCCCCTGCATGCTCCTCCCCCTCCCCTCAGGGCTCCCAGGGATGGTGGTGGTTGAAATCCCCTTCTTTGCCCCTAAATTTGGGATCTTTGCTTTGACCAAATTGTTTGGGGTGACAATTTTATCAAAATTTTCATTTTTTTTCCTTGTAACTAATAAAAAGGGAATTAATAATCTACTAATCACAGGCCAAATCTGATCAGATGATGCTACAGCCAGTTATGGATTGAGGCACGGGTAAAAAGAGTCACGACAACTGGGAACACGCTGAGATTAGAGTTGAACTGTCCGACGTGGATGGACGCTTCCTCTCTTTTCTCACCTTTATAACCTCATTCTGCTGGATTCACTAAATTTAACATTCAGTCTTATTTGGTTTGACTCTGCACTTTAGCACATTAATACAAAGCACTCAATGGAATCACTAAACAAGTGATTCTGCAATATACTGCAATACAGTCATCTGTGATACCTCACAAAGTTGGTATTTAAAGAAGAAATGGGAAAGATTGTACACTATGACCTGAAATTTAAAATCTTTCAGGCTTAGTCTGATATACAAGAATATTCACAGGAGATTGTATTGTGATATATTGCTCTGTTGATGATTATCTGTCCCATCTCTACCTAGCTGGGGCAAGATAAGTTTGGATTTGGTTCCACGTGGATGTTTGTCTTCCCATGCTGTAAAATTCTTGGATGGAAATAGTTTAAGTTTTGTTTCTAAGGAAGTAATATTCTTATTTATTTCCCATTTTCTTTCTAGAGGAAGGAGATTGTTTGAAATATATATACTTTATATGCTCTCTGTTCAGTTTATTAAGCCTACCTGTGCATCCTCATGCATCATAGTACAACGTGTCCGTTTTTGTTCATTCTTTGAACTGGCTGCACTAGACAGATATACCTAATAAAGTGACTTCAGTATTCTTAACTGTGAACACTATGAATAAGCTTTTCTAGAAAAGCTCTCCTGACAGACGTTTGCAAATCTATGCTTCTGTCTAAACACGAGAAGTTGTAAAAGAAACTGTCAAATCTGCTTAATTACCTTTGAAATCACTAAATGTCAAAAGATTGGATCAATGAGACAAGAAGTCTGCAGCTAACCGAAGGAAAACAATGCACCGCTGTGGAACCAAATGCTAAGTACCAAAGTGTCAGCCTCCAGTTGTCACCGATGTGTGTTTTGCCAAGACTGGTACCATGTAGCATGTAGCATGTAGCATGCAATCCTCCTCAAAGCCACCACAGCCATTCTTGCCCAGGGGACGAGGAAGTGGATGCATTTCTATGACTGCTACTCTGCATGTAAATATTTGTGTATATTTGTAAGCTGGGCGTGCTTAGTGTATGATCTCTCCAGTGCGCGTGTGGAATAATCCCCCTCTGCACTGTGGTTCTCATGATCATTTAACAAACGTTCTTAACGGGTAGTTTACTTCTGTTTAGTGCTAAGTGACTGGTTTTTTTTGTTCAGTGCATTTTACTTTATTTGTAAGTTTTCTATGACTCAGAGGTGAATGGGTTCACATGTAGCTTTCATGTGCGATCTCGGGTTCGGGGTGTGTGATGCCTCACATTCGTGTGAGAAAATTCAGGCTTGATTGGACGCCTCCGGGTGCGAAGCATCACATTGGGCGGGAGGGTGGGAGGGGAATATAGCTGGAACTGAAGCATGATTTTGGGAAGGGGGGGTGTTAAGATGGTGCAAGAAGATTTAAAGCACAATATCATATAAACTTTATGCCCGAGTCTGTTTCTGTTTCAGCTTCTTTTTTCTACTCTTCTTACATAAAAGCAGAAGGCTTTGTGTCTACTGGGTAGCACTCATACCCCTTTTCCACCGATGCAGGTGCCCAGTCTATAGCCAGTTCCGTGTGTTTCTACCAAGAAAAGACCAGTGCCCATGCCAAAAAACCTGGCATCAGAACGGCACCACAAAATTTCCCGGCCGAGAGTTGGGATCACTGACATCAGTGGTGTGGGAGGGGCTACCACAAGAAAATGAAGAATGATTGGTAGGTACAGTCCACAGTTTCTGGCTGCCATGATTTTCTTAAAATAGAACTTACCTCAACTCCCTGACACTACATAGTCGGTCCTAAAACCTGTTGCATTGTGGTGCTGAAGACAGAACTGGCTCAACACTATTACTGGCACCAGTATCAGATGGTGTTAAAGAGGTATTGAAGGCACTGTAGCCTGCTTTACTGGCTCATCAGCAGCTTGTGGTTTACATGAAATAGAACACTGAAACTACTGACTTTAAACTGAGGCTGTGTATTTGTTACTGCGCCACAAGCTTAAAAAAATATCTGCTAATAACCGAATGTCTGGGTTGGATGGTAATAAATTATATTAAGGGCAAATGTATTTGCAGAACTCAAAAGAAAATTCAGAATTTTAAATGTATGATTTTAAAGTAATTAAACAGTTTTTGGATTAGATTTGTTTTTCTGTTTTGAATTTATTGTAAGACAGTTCTAATGAAAAAAAAACAACTTCCATACAAAGTTAATTTTCAACATAATCTGACCCAAAATGATGAAAGCATAGAGAAGGTCCAGTTATTGTTTTCATCCTCTTTTTAAAAAACAACCACCAATCCGTGATTGTCTACTAAACCTGCTTATGTTGTCGTTGATTTGTATTGTAGTATACTGATGCTGATGATGGGGTATAAAATACAGTTAATGATTGTTTGTAAGTGATATAGACAACAGTGAAGTAATATTACAAGATCTTTGTAAAACAATGTGTAGTTCTTCCTTTAAAGAACAGCACAAACTGGCTACAACCCGAATAGAAAGACGTGAGAGGTAAAAGTGATGGTGACGCCTCGACTGGCAGCTTTATTTAAATGCATTTAAATCAACTCCAGTGCTCGAGAGCTACTTTTCCTTTTTTTTACCCCAACACAGCTGAATCAAATGATTGGATTATCTCTTCAGCATGCCATCAAGTTTGGCAAAGGCCTGGTAACAAGCCATTCATTTGATTCAGGTGTGTCGGAACAAGGATGCATCTAAAAGCTGCAGGACAGTAGCTCTCCAGGACTGGAGTTGGACACCCCTGATTTCCTTTCAGTGTTACAAGCAAAACAGCAGTCTTGACCATTAGCAGTGAAAAGTGGCTTTATGCAGAGCTGTAGAAATAAAAGCATTTTCTTCTCTTTGATCTTTGTTCTTTGGCCAGTCTCAAATATGACTTCTACTTTACAATCTACTGTGCTGAAAACTGAAGTCACCGCTTTGACAAGTCGAGACGCATGTTTTACGGGTGCCATTCAATAAAACATTTCTTGAATATGATGAAGGCAAGCTGAGGAGCTGTGAGACACACGTTTCCTTAATTCTGATACTTGACTTCTTGCTCATTTGGGTACTGAGGTTCTCATATCTGTTCTGTTCTGGTTGGAGCTGGTTTGTGCTCTTCTATGAAAGTCCAGCACACACATATTGGAGTATTTTATTGCAAGGAATAACTGATGAGGTTTAGTTTGTGTATTTTCAATATTTTGAGGGAATCATCAACCCCCAAATGCTCCTAGCTGTATTTGGTGCTTATGTATCGAGCGCACCAGTTTTCGTTGTGGTAAAATGCAATGCAAAGCAGGTTTTGTACTGATCAGTAAGGCTTTTAACAAAGTGAACTTAAAACAGGGAGTGTAATGTCCCACTGGAACACCACAGTGAATAAATGAGCTCCTGCATACCTGTATATTCTATTAAATGTCACAAATTAATAATGATTATATTGATATATCAGACCAATTTATCTATAAATTGAAAACATCTCCATTTCTGAGTCCAAACTTTAAAGAAGTTCTGAAGTAGTACTAACCCAAATTAAGTACGGCTCCTCTTGGTTTGCTGCTAAGTAATTTTACTGATCACCTGTTTTGCTGTCCCTCTAGTGCAGAGGTGCCTCGAACTCTTGAGGCCTGGAGTTCCCCACCTCTGCTCTAGTGTGTACAGGACTTGCAGCGTATAAACTGTACTACAGTCTCTGACTATTACATATTACATATTCCTCTCTTTCTGTCTCCTTGATTGTATATTTCTGCAGTTTATCGTGTCAAAAACATGTACAGATTTTTTTTTTTGCTGTGATGTGGTCTCAATGAGTTTCACACTGAACTGAATTCCTAACTATTTTAGTGTGTGCAACACATTCGGGTACTATAACTGGTTTTACAGGCTGCAGCTCTGATTTATAGCCTACTGAAAAAAACGCAAAGCCTCACACAGTGTCAACCACACTGCAAAAACACTCCTTGCACTAAACATCTGATTGACTCTAAAGACAGAAGAGTCGCCCAGTGGACACTCAGCTGCATTTCTGCAGGAAGCCTGTAAAACGATTTTTGACTTTGTGGAACCTGAAGTGCCTTAATGTGTTTACCATGTTAGCTACACGGATCATTTTAAACTTTGTGGTAACGGCTCTCTGATCGCCAAACGAGGTGCCTTCATTTGCTTGCTATCCTGATTAAACCCTGCCTTTCTTTTCCAGCAAAGGATCATCTGTGTGTTGAGCTAAATTAATTGGTTGTAGCTAATATGCAAAAAGATCTAAATGTCTAAATATATTTTCATATGCAAACTGTTTTCTTTATTTTTTCATTCCGAGAGAATTTGCCTCAGTCCTGTTTCAGCTGAGATGGATTGCAATTAAAACGAGTAATATATCTTTGAAGAAGTGCACTTGTGTTTGTACTTAAATTAAGATACAGCCTGAACGAAGCATTTATCAGATTATGGTCTTACTAAAGGGTCAGTTCACCCAAATGAAAGCACAGGTGTCTGACTTCCCTCTGTCCACACTGCTGGCTTTCACTTGTATGTATCTGGACTTTTTAAAAATCTATTCAGACTCCCTGTAACAAATTATCCAAACCTGAAGCTCCACATACTGGGTTAAGAAACAGAATACAAGTCACTTAAACTGGTTTAAAGTCTACAATGACAAGGATAAAAGCAGCTCTTTTTACTTTAAGCCCTTAAAGTTGTTTCTTTTTTTACTGTCTTCACAATAGAAAAGCACATTTGTGCTCCTTTCCCTCCTTAAAGGGTATAAGAATGTCAAAACAACTGTATTAGTACTCTCATCTTCAAGTCTCATGAGGCTGCTGGTCCAAGAATGGTCAGCAGGGGGAGCCAGCTCCCCTGAGCAGCTCTCTCTCCACTTGGGGTCAATGAGTGGAGCTGATGGAGCAGAGAGACAGAGAATGAGGTCATGGCAGCTCTGTAGGGCTTGGCTCACTTGGCTGCTAGTCAACCATTTTGACTTCAGTCAGTGTTCTCAAAGCCCACATGGTCGCAGAAAGCAGAAACCATCTCAGAGAACAGTCATTACTGGGAAGTAAAAGATTACATGCAAACAGGATTAAAGCGATCAGACTACAAATAATCGGATTTTCTAAATTGTTTATTATTATCATCTGATTTTAGACTCTGAAAACATGTTACTTAATGGGCAGGACATTTATTTAGGATTTTGTTTGCGCAGATTAAAGAAACTTTTTTAAGACTTTGGTTTCCCGTTTTAATATTACTGTTTGTAAAGCACTTTATCCTGTCTATTTATCTTTCTTTTTCTTAGCTAATCTCCAAGCATGGAATTCTATTCGCTGCAGCATGGGCTGAATATTATTTGTTCTGACTGATAACCATGCTAGTTTCATGATGTGGCTCTCCGTGTTTCCTCTTTGCTCACTGACACATTTCTTGACTCGATTATGCAGCTCTTTCCGTGTGGGCATTATGAATTAAATATGAGGAAATATATGGAAAAAGAGAAACAAAGATGTTATCCAAACCTGGGTTCAGTCACAACAAGTTCCATTTTCTTTAAAATTATTTTTCAATGTGCTGCACCACAGAAGAAAAGACCGAGGAACAGAAACTTTAATTTTGCTAAAACAAACGTCACCGGTTTAGAGGTTTGATTATATGCACTAACACAACTAACAAATGAATAATCAGCTACAAATCAGCGTTTTTTGTATTAAATATTCATTAATAATTAGTATTAATAATGTTAATAAACCAGGGGATTTAAATGTGAATTCATGCAAATCATAAGCTTAAATACAATTTAAACTTTATGGCCATAAAGTGCATGAAACTGTATTTACCTTTCCGTTCTCTGATGTCAGCAGGACAATAAAAGTTAATGCTAAACAAAGACTGTAGCTCTTACAAAACTGAGTTGTTGTTAACAGTTACACACGCTTGTTTTCATACTTGGTTCATAGTATGACTTGGCAAAACATTCACCTGCTCGTTGATTATTTATTATAATACATTTAAATGAATTTAGTAAATTCTCATTTATCAATGCAAACTTAAACAGCTAGCCATTTAAACATCCAGCTGATTCAGAGCTAGTAAGTTTTCCAGTTTCCACCAGCGATTCGCAAACCTCATTGGAACAATGTTGCTGAAAACAGGTGTTTATTAATTCTGGAGGAAAGACGGTTGGTAAGAATGAATCACAACAGTGTCAGTTTGTTGTAAACTGAAGTGTTCTTTGTTGTATTTTAAATAGTTGATCTGCCACAACATCAAAACCACATGTCTAATATAAGATAAGATAAGATAACCTTTATTAGTCCCACACGTGGTAAATTTGTTTGGTCACAGCAGGAAGTGGACAGTGCAAAAGTTATGAGGCAAAAATTAGGATACAATAAGAATAAATACAGTACACAACTGTACAGAATAGAATAAATAAAATACTATATACAGTAGAATAAAATAAAATAAATATACAATAAGATAAAAATAGAATACAAATACAAATGCTATATACAACTGAGTAAAAATACAACGATGACAGAAAGGATTATTGCACTTAGTATTATTGCATATGTATGGATGTGTGTGCTTGATCAGTTAAAGTCTTTATTATGGAGTCTGACAGCAGTGGGGAGAAAAGACCTGCGAAATCATGTAAATATCATGTAAATCTCCCTTGTGCTGCAAACCCCAGTGGTGTTTGGAACTGAATGGATCCTTTGGCCTAATGTGGATTGGAGGGTGGGCCTTGAGGCTTGTTTTAGTACATCCAGAGATGTGGGGAGTTCGGAGGCTGGGTCAATGTCTTGGACACTTCATCGGGTTACCTTAGTCATTCCTGAGCATTTTTCACAATGTCAGGGCACATTGTCCTACTGGGGGAGGTCCTTACTGGTGGGGAATGCTGTAGCCATGTGGTGTGGGAGGGTGGGAGTAGTGGCGTCAGGATGCCTGGACCAAGCAGAACATCAGTTTGTTACAAGATCATAAATGTTAGTCACCGACTGTAGCTTTTAATGTTGTCGATGACTCATGTGGGTTGTAATATGAGTATATAGGGAATTTCTTGTAGTAGATTTAAAGTTATGTAAACATTAGATAGTAAAAATTAAGACTAACAGAAAATGTAATCAAAACTCCTGTTTCAACGTTGTACTGACCCATCCATCCTCCCTGACCTCCACTAGTCCTAAAAAGGCAATTTCTGCTTCTCTTTTCTCAATGTTGGCTTTTGTCGTAACATAAACACTGTTCACCCCCTTGCATTTGCACAATTATTTTTTTTCTATGAAAATATAATCTCATGCCACATCTCTATCAAATTCAAGCTTATGCATCATGTACAAACACACACACTCTCTTTCTCTCCCTCTCTGTAAACCCAATATCCTCTGAGGCCCGGGGGTTTCAGAGTGTAAAGGCAGTGGAGAGACAGGAAGAGAGTGACTGCATTATCCACATCAAAGAGCCAGTTATCAGCCATAATCAATGTTTTCCCATTACGCACTCCAGTCATCCTTTCTCGTTCACTCTCTCTCCCTCTCTCTATCTCTCTCTAATCAGATCAATATGCTTTATTGGCATGAATGGATGTACCTTATGAATATTGGCAAATAATGGTGAATTAATCAGCAAGTTGCCAATATACAGGAGGAGGATGATAAATGTTTGAAAGTAATTTGGGACTCTTTTGTAAGTTGTACTTTTGGCTGCGAAGTATAAATACCACATACTCTGAGGGTCTTGGGGTGTAACGTTTCTTCTGAGACAACATCTGTGGTCGAGAGGGGTATGATGGTCAACCAACTTTGTTGACTCGCTTCAAATTGGTTGACTGTTAAGCAAAACCTTTGAGAGCAGTGGTTTTTCAGTGGGCCACAGTTCCTCTTGCAGACCAGCCAGGAATTTGAACAGCTTTTATTCAGCTAGGTTTCAGTACACTACCCGTGTCAGAAGGGTCAGTGGCTGATTATTGGCCAGTATATGTAAATGGCTATGGCTTGGCAATCTTTGTGTAGCACTTTATTATTCCATAGTTTGATGTTTGAAAGAGGCACAGTTCCACTTCCATTGCTGTGATAGTTGAAACATTTGCAAACCATTTTACTACAATCACCCTCCAGGAGACATATAAGCAAACGATCCTTTCTTCAGTTACTTCTTTGCTTATCATCAAGGGGAGGGCCACTGATCCAGCTTGATCACATAGGACATATTTGTATGTGTCAGAATCCATTAGCGCCTTAATAGTCACAAGTAAGGTGTTCTTTGGCATCAGCAGACACTGGTCCACCAAAAGTGGTTGCCCAAAAAGAATGATCATATTTAGGTTCCCAGAAATGAGAGCATAGTTCCACAAACAGAATAAAAGATGATGTGGGTGTCCTAATGTCACCCATTTGCCTGAGGATTTGCATTTTTATGTCCAAATATGCTATATTTAGACATGACGTAGTAGTAGGTTATCACCTAAAATTAGGAAGCTTCATAATGGTGCATTACCCAAAAACAAATACAATAACTAACTAATTGCCATAATTGAAGCACAGTCTGTTTGGATAGTCTGTGCCACACAGCGAGCCTATTTTCTCTTCTCATTCCCATCTCCCCAAACCGGTGGTGAGGTGTTTACCTCACAATACAAAGTGCCTAGAGGAGACTATTGTAGTAACATGGTGTTATAAATTTAACATTAAACATGAAACATCTATGTCTATGGCAAAGTCCTCACTTTTTAAAAGACAGCCTCAAGTGGGCAATACAGGAAATTCAGTTTTTCTTGGATCAGAAATATATCAGCTTACAACTGTTTGTCGATACCATAGGTAAGAATTAATTAAACTAGAGTAAAAAAAGAACAGTAATCTCATCGAAACTAGAAAAGGAAAAAATTGTGGTTCTGCGATGATTTTAAAATAATAATTGCGAAAAAAAACAACTGATTGAGCAGAGGTTGCATGTGCAGCACTCTCAACCTCTGAGGGACCGTTTTTGATTGCAAGGCCACTGCAGAGGACATTGAGTGGGAAGCAGTGGGTTGGATTGTGATTCTTAATAATTGTCATCAATCACTCTCAGATTGGCTAAGCTTTGCCAATAACTGCTTTCTAATTTGTAAATGTATACATATTGCCAACACGTTGCAATCAACCTGAGTCAGTCTACATCTGTCACGGTTCGGGGCAGCGGCCGTGTGAAGAGTGGAAGGAGGACTCAAACGCAGCACTATTTCAGACGTGAAGGGTGATTTATTGACAATACTGAACATAAAGTGGAGATGGCAAACAGAACTAAGGACGAACTAAACTGGGAGAAACTACGCAAAGGAGTGGCAAACCTGAACATGAAGGGAGAACAGCAGGGAGAGCACGCAGGGAAATTCACCGGGTATGAACA